ATGCTAACACCAAATACAGGAAAGATGAATGGCTATGTTAAAAATAGCCAAGTAGCTTTCAGAGCAAAGAATATTACCTGGGATGATAATGATAAAGAGATCAAAATAAGATTAAAAAATAGGATATAACAATATTAAATATTTATGCAACTAATAATGAAGCTTCAAAATACATGAAGCAAAAATTGTACTGTCATACAAAGTATGTACTCTGATATCAGTGGAAATAAATTAGGTTCTAATACCAGAAAGATATCTGGAAAAATCCCCATATATTTGGAAACTAAATAACATGTTTATAAATAACACATGTCAAATAAAAAATCAAAAGAGAAATTGTAAAGTATTTTTAACTAAATGAAAATGAAAACACAACATATCAAAATGTGTAAGATGCTATAAAGCAATAGAAGAAAATTTATAGCATCAAATGCATATGTAAGAATAGAAAAAACATTTCAAGTCAATGATATCAGCTTCTACCTTAAAAAACTAGAAAAGGTAGATTAAAATTAAGCTCAAAGTAAGAAGCAGAAATCAATAAAACAGAAAACAAAACCAATAGAGAAATTCAATGATCCTAAAAGCTGGTTCTTTCAGATAATAAGCAAAGTTGATAAAACTCTGGCTATATTGATCAGAAAAAGAGAAGACAAAAATGACCAATGTCAGAAATGAGACAGAAGACACCACTACAGATTCTACAAATAGTAAAAGAATAATAAGGGAATGTTATGAACAAATTTATGTCAATAAATTTGAGGACAAAGGAAATGGACTAATGGCTTCAAAGACACAAACTACTAAAGCTCATTCAAAAACATATATAGCCTTAGCTGGTGTGGCTCAGTTGGTTGGGGGGTTGTCCCATAACAGAAAGTTTGCAGGTTCAATCCCTGATCACAGCACATGCCTAGGTTGTGGTTTTGATCTTCAATTCCCATCCCTGATACCTGGTCCAGGTCCAGGCATATGATCTCTGGTCCATGTGTACTGGAGGCAACCAATAAATGCTTCTCTCTTTCAAATCTATGTTTCTCTCTCTCCCTTCCTCTTTCTCTAAAAATTAATGCAAAAATGCCCTCAGGCGAGAAATAAATAATTAAATACACATATATAACATGAATAGCCCTAAACCTATTATAGAAGTTGAATTTCAGTTAGAAATCTTCTTACAAAGTAAACTCCAGGCCCGTATGTTTTCATTGGTGATGTCTACCACAATATAAGTTAGAAATAGTATCACTTTTACTAAAAGTCTTCCAGAGGACAGCATTACCCGGGTGCTGAAACAGAACAAATAAAACTATAGACTAGAATCTCTCATGAACACAGATACAAAAACCAAAAATAAAATTTTAACAGATTGAATCCAGCCAGCTAGAAAAGGAATTATGTCATGTGTAAGTGTGGTTATGTCAGGAATGCAAGTTGGTTTATATTTGAAAATAAATCAATATAATTCGCTATATTAGCAAATAAACAAATAAAAGCCATAGGATCATTTCAATATATACAGAGCCATCACTTAACAAAAAAATCCAATGTCCATTAGTAATAATAACTCTGATCAAAGTAAGAATAGAAGGGAATTTAATCAACCTGAAAAAGTATCAATGAAAGACCTAAAACTAACATCATACTTAATAGTGAAAGACTGAGTGCTTTCCCTATAAGATCAGTAACAAGTTAAGGATGTCTGTTCTCACCCCTTATATTCAGCACTGTCCCAGAGTCTCTTTCCAGAGCAGTTAGGGGAAAAAATTCAATGAAAGGACCCAAATTATAAAGCAAGAAATACAATTTTTCTTTACTGGTAGATAACCTGTTTGTATATAAAAAATTGTTTGGACTCGAAAAAAAGTTTCTATAACCAATATGTGACTTTAGTAAAGTTGTAGGCTACATCATTAATATATAAATTTTTAAGATTTTAATTAATTAATTAATTATAGATAGATAGATAGATAGATAGAGAGGATAGGAGGGGGAAGAGAGGGAGAGAAACATCAGTGTGTGGTTGCCTCTTGTGCACCCCCCACTGGGGACCTGGCCTGCAACCCAAGCCTGTGCCCTGACTGGGAATTGAACTGGCAACCTTTGGTTTGCAGGCTTGTGCTCAGTCCACTGAGGTACATCAGCCAGGGGTAATATATAATTTTTATACAATTGAAACAACTGTAATGAACAATTGAAACAATGAACAATTCAAATTTTTAAATGACATGTGCAATAGCATTAACATATTAAATAATTAGAGATAAATCAGAAAAAGATGTGCAAAACCTGTATGATAAAAACTATAAAGAATTACTAGGAGGAAGTAAAGAAAATCTAACTGGAGATTTATATTGTCCTTTATTCATGTATCATACACTCAATATTGCTAAGATAACAATTTTTCCCAAATTGATTTACAGATTCAATATAATCTTTTTCAAATTTCCAGCACAATTGTAGAAATTAACAAGCTGATTCTGAAATTTGTATGGAAATACAAATAACCTAGAATTTCCAAAGCAACTTTGGAAAAAACACATTTGGAAGGTTAACCCTAATTTATCTTAAGGCAAATTATAGCTACAGTATAATTAAGACAGTGTGGTATTGATATCAGATGTGTATCAAAGGAACAAAATAGAGAGTTCAGAAATATAACCACACAAATATAGACAACTGATTTTTTAAAAGGTACAAAGACAATTCACTGGAAAAAGAATAACTTTTTAAATAAATGGTATTAGAACCATTGTATATTCATCTGCAAAAAAAATAACTTGAATTCTTACCTTGTACCACACATAAAATTACCTCAAAATAGATCATAGAATTAAATATAAAAACTAAAACTGTAAAACTTCTTGAAGAAAATATAGGAGAAAAATCTTTATGACCTTCAGGTAGGCAATGATTTTTTAAGATATGACACCAAAAGCGCAATCCATTTAAAAAATTGATAAATTAGTCTTTGTGAAAATTTAAAATTTTGTTCTTTGAAAAACACTCTTGCCTTGGCTGGTGTAGCTCAGTGGATTGAGCGTGGGCCTGAGAACCAGACAATTGCGGTTCAATTCCCAGTCAGGGCACATACCTGGGTTGCAGACCAGTACCCTGCAGGCCAATTCCCAGCAGGGGACGCATGAAAGGCAATCATACATTGATGTTTCTCTCCCTCTCTCCTTCCCTTCCCCTCTAAAGATAAATAAATAAAAATCTTAAAAAAAAAGAAAAACACTCCTAAGACAATGAGAAGACAATTCACAGACTGGGAGAAAATATGTGCACAACATATATCTGATAAAAGACTTGTATGCAGTCTATACAAAATAATGTAAAAACTCAGAAGAAAATAAACAACGCAATCAATACAAAATGGGCAAAAATATTTGAAGACACTTTTTCAAAGAAAACATATAGATGGCACATAAGTACATCAAAAAAGGTTCAATATCACTGGCCCTTAGGTAAATGATAATGAAAACCACAATGAAATAACACTATAGAATAATTAGGATGATGAAAATTAAAAAGAATGGCCATACCAAACATTGATAAGGATTCCAATAAACTGGAACTTTCTTTCAGAGTTGGTGGTAATGCAAATAGTACCACTTTGTAGAACAGTTTGATAATGTTTTAAAAAGTTGCCCTGACTGGTGTAGTTTAGTGGGTTGGGCATCATCCTGAAAAGCAAAAGGTTGCAGGTTCAATTCCCAGTCAAGATACATGCCTGGGTTGTGGGCCTGGGTTGTGGGCCAGGTCTCCAGTTGGGTGCATGCGAAGAGCAACTGATCAATGTTTCTCTTGTACATCAATGTTTCTCTCCCTCTCTTTCTCCCTTCCTTCCCTGCTCTGTAAAAAATATATAAATAAAATCTCTAAAAATAATAAAAATAAAAATAAAAGTTAACCAGTGTTACACTTATGAAATGATTCAACAATTTACTCTTAGATATTTATCCAAGAGAAAAGAAAGCATGTATGCACAGAAAGGCTTATACATGAATGTTCATAGAAGCTTTATTTGTAATAGCTAAAAACTGGAAAGAAACCCATCTGTCCATCAACAGGTGAATAGATAAACAATTTGTTGTATATCCATATGGTGAAATACTAAGAAAAAAAGAGAAGAAACTATTGATATAATATGTAACAGCATGAGTGAACCTCAAAATAATTATGCTCAATGAAAGAAGCCAGGAAGAAAGATATATGGTCCAATGTATGATTAAAAATATACACACTAAGCCAAAGTGACAGAAAGCAGATCAGTGACTACCTGGAGATAAAGGGGAAGGGGGCATTACCAAGGGTACTTGATGGTTTCATTGGTGTATATATATGTCAAATTAAAATCATATGCTTTAAATATGTGCAGTTTATTATATGTCAATTATACCCCAATAAAACTGTTAAAAAGAACCTACTCACATAAATATGCCCAACTGATTTTTGATAGAGTTGAGAGAGCAATTCAATGGAGTTTGAGAAATAGCTAGGGCTTGACAGATTCAGCCAGTAAAGACACAATGAACCTTTTTTAGATTCAGACAGTTTATTACTCATATGGAAAGTGAAAGGAAGAGTAGCCAAAGGTACCAGCAACCTGTGCTCCTTTGTCCAGCATAGTAAAAAGGATGACTCCAAAACAGAAAGTATCTCCCATCTTCTTGTGTTCTGAGTAGATCACAAGGAGTTATACAAAGACTCAGATAAATTACAGGTCAAGACTTTGCCTATGTGTCTTATCACCACATTGCCATAACAGAGCTGCTCCTCTACACATAAAAGCCTCAGATGTTGAGACTTGAACAGGTTTCCCTGAGCAAAGTTATTCTGCACATGTCCCTGTACTTCACTGCTAGAGAGAAAGCATATCCTGTGCGGCTTCAGATGGGGAAGTCCATGCCTGACTTTTCTAAACTCTGCCCAATGCATGCATTTTTCCTATTGCTTTCCATCTATATCCTTCCTTTGTTGTAATATACCTTACCTGTGAGTAAAGCCTGCTATTGAGTCTTGTGAGTCCATCCAATGAACCATGGAGCCTGGGTGATCGTGAGGCCACAGACACATGGGTTGGTTTGTTTTTTTCAATAAACTGTGCTGGAGAAATTGGATATCCATAAGCAAAAAATAATAATAAACTTAGATCTAAACCTCAGACCTTACACAATAATGATCTCAAATTGGATCATAGATTTAAATGTAAAATTATAAAACTTTCAGGAGAAAATATTCATGACCTAGAGTTAGGTGAAGAACTCTTAGACATGATACCAAAAGCACAATACATAAAAGAAAACAATCAATAAATTGAACTTCATCAAAATGAAAAATTTATGCTCTGTGAAAAACCCTGTTAAGAAGATAAAAAGACAAGCCACAGACTGGGAGAATGTTTTTGCAAATTATATACATAGGAAAGGATTTATATCCAGAGTACATAAAGAACTCCCAAAACTCAACTATAAGAAACCAACCACCCAATTTTCCCCCAGAAATAAACCCACACCTAAATGGAAAATTCATATTTGAGAGGAGGCAAGAATAAACAATGAGGTAAAGACAGTCTATTCAATAAATAATGTTGAGCAAATTGGACAGATACATGCAAAAAATGAAACTAGACCACCCTCTTACACCATACACAAGAATAAACTCCCCCCCCATTTCCTCCCCCCCCCTTAGTTCTCGTCCCTGTGTCCTTCCTATTTGTTCCTCCAAAATGGGAGGGAGGTGGGGAGCAAGGGGCAGAGGAGGCTGGGATGGGAAAAATAGACAAAAAACTGTACTTGAAAAATAACTAAATAAAATTTAAAAAAAACATTAAAAAAACAGTAAAGTATGATACTTAAAAAAAAAAGAATAAACTCAACATGAATTAAAGACTTAAATGTAAGCCTCAAAACTATAACACTCTTTGAGGTAAACATAGGCAGTAAAAATATCTGACATTTCTTGTAGCAATATTTTTTCTGACATACCTCCTCAGGCAAGGGGAAAAAAGAAAAAAAAAACAAATGGAACTACATCAAACTAAAAAGGTTTTGCACAGCAAAGGAAACCACCAACAAAATGAAAAGACCACCTCCTGAATGGGGGAACACATTTGTGAATGATACATCTGATAAGGGGTTAGTATCCGAACTTTATTTTAAAAAACTCATACAACTCAACACCTAAAACACAAACAATGCAATTTTAAAAAGTGGGCAGAGGACCTAGACATTTTTCCAAAGGGGACATACAGATGGCCAACAGACATATGAAAAGATGCTCAACATCACTAATCATCAGAGAAATGCAAATTAAAACCACAATGAGATATCACCTCATACCTGTTAGAATGGCCATCATTAATATATCAAGAAATAAAACGTTTTGGTGAGGATGTGGAGAAAAGAGAACCTTTGTGCAAAAAATAAACAAAATTTAAATAGACTCATAGACACAGAGAACAGATTGATGGTTGCCAGATGGGTGGGTGTAGAGGAGAATGGGTGAAGAGGTGAGGGGATTGAAAAGTACAAATTGGTAGTTACAGAATAGTCATGGGAATGTAAATTACAGTATAGGGAATACAGTTAATATCATAACTATGGATGGTGCCAGGTAGGTACTGGAAATATCAGGGGAACACTTTGTACAGTATATGATTGTCTAACCCCTATGCTGTATACCTGAATCTAATATAAAATAATATTGAATGTAAACTGTAATTGAAAAAAAATTAAAACAAACCCTAACCATCCAGTTTTTAAATGAGCTAAGACTTGAACAGCCATTTCACTGAAGATGATATCCAGATGGTAAATAAATGCATTAAAACTTGTGCAACGTCACTAACCATTAAGCAAATGCAAATTAGAATCATAATGAGATGCTACCACATACCTATTTGAAAGGTTAAAATAAAACACACTGAAAAAAAAACACATTGATAACACCAAATGCTGATGAGGATGCTAATAAACTAGATCTGCCATTCATTGTTGGCCAGAATGTAAAATGGTACAGCCATTCTGGAAGCCATTCTGGCAATTAAATATAGAGTTATCATATGACCCAGCAATCACACTCCTGGTGAAAAATCTGTAGTTAAGTTAATTGTATCATGCCAATTGATTTTCTGGTTTTGACAATGCACTATAGTTATTGAAGATGTCATCAAGGGGGGAGGCTGGGTGGTGGGTACATAGAACCTCTCTGTAGCATTTTTTTGCAATTTCTATGCACATATAATTATTTCAAAATAAAATGGTATAAATTGATATTCAATTCAAATACTGGAAAACTTTTAAGTATGTTTGGAACATCTTGGGTATGTAAATCCACATTTTGGCTGTAAATTTTTAAGAAATCTAAATACAGATCAAGTATTTAGGGTAAAAAATTATCATTCAAACTGAAATATTCTGTAAGTTTGAAACATACAAATGATTTCATAGACTTCATATAAAAGTATCTCTTTAATGATTTTTATAGTATTATATTTTGAAATGAGGCAGATCAGATATATTGGGTTAAACACATATATTATTAAAATTAATTTCATCTTTTCACTTTTTAAGTGTGGTTACTAGAAAATAAAAAATTAGTATGGTATTCACATTATGGTTCTATTGGACAGTGCTGCTCTAAGGTATCACAAAAGTAAAAACTTCAAAAAGTAGCTATCACCCTTAGGCTGGGGGGAAGAAAAGATGTTGTAATCCAAAACCTGGTGCAGAGAGGCTCCACGGAGCTAAAACTCAGACTTCTGAAAAGGGGGCACTTATCAGCTAGTGCTGGGATCTATGAGCTTGAACGAGCATCCCTGTGGTGATGGGATCCAGACTTCTGAGAAGAGGGTACAGACCATTGGTGTTGTCTCTGAGTGAAGCATGAGGAGGCTGGTTCTTTCAAGTGAGAGAAAAACTGCAAACCAGATTCAGCTAGTGCTATAGGAAGGCATTAGTGTTTCCAGTGTGAAGAAGCAAGGTTGGGGTGATACAGGAACCACAAGCATACAGGAAACCTACAGCAAGGAAGCACGTAGGAATAAGTCTTCCTCCTCCAGCTTTGCAGTCTCCCTCTACTGCTCCCTGTTGGCAGAACCTACCATAGAGCCAATAGACAAAGCAGAAAAGTGGTTTGTAGTGTGTTAATAACAGCCTCACAAAGCAGAGTATATAAAGAGGTAAGGGTTGGACCTGAGAATTTAATGACTGGCATATACAACTCTGACAAAGACACTTAACTTCCAACTATCTATACTATCCTTTCATCATGCTAAGTTGTGACTGAGAAGTGGCTCTGCAGACAAGAACTATAATTTCTCAGTTCCCTTTGCATGTAGGCAGGGACTTATGACAAGTTCTCGCCAATGGAATGTTGGTGGCAGGGGTGTGTGTGTCATTCAGGCCAATCTAAGAAGCTCACATACTATCTCCACTCTTTCTCTTTCCCATCAGTTGGCTGGTTGTCAGCATCCAGGATGACATTGGATGCCATATGTTAAAAATGACATAGCTAGTGTTACTTTTTTAAAAAATTTATCTTTAGAGGGCAAGGAAAGGAGAGAGGGAGAGAAATATCAATGTATGGTTGCCTCTTGTGCGTCCCCTGCTGGGAACTGGCCTGCAACCCAGGCATGTGCCCTGACTGGGAATTGAACCATGATCCTCTGGTTCGTAGGCCTATGAATAATCCACCAAGCCACACCAGCCAGGGCGCCAGTGTTACCTTAATGGATATATGATTCTGTAGACACTATGTCCTGGCCCCTATGTGGAAAGGGGCATAGTATCCATAGTTATCATAATATTACCAAGGATATTGTTAAATCCACCAACAGGGAGCTCACAAATGGTTATCAAAACTCTACTCCCACATATATGTCACATTTTACATAAGAAGATATATTCTTTTATATATATATACATATACATATATAAAATTGATTGTGTTATTACCATTGTCCCATTTTTTCTCTTTATTCCCTTCCACACTACACCCCCCTTTCACCAGCATTCACCCCCCCCCACCCTTAGTTCATGTACATGGATCACACATATAAGTTCTTTGGCTTCTCCATTTTCCATACTATCCTTAACCTCCCGCTGTCTATTTTGTGCCTACCATTTATGCTTCTTATTCCCTGTGCCTTTTCCCCCATTCACCCCTTTCTCCTCCCTGCTGATAACCTTCCATGTGACCTTCATTTCTGTGATTCTGTTCCTGTTCTAGTTGTTTGCTTAGTGTGTTTTTGTTTTTGTTTTTTAGGTTCAGTTGTTGATTATTGTGAGTTGGTTTTCATTTTACTGTCCATAGTTTTGATTATCTTTTTTTTCTTAGATAAGTCCCTTTAACATTTCATATAATAAGGGCTTGGTGATGATGAATTCCTTTACTTTTTAACTTTACTTTTTCTGGGAAGCACTTTGTCTGCCCCTTCATTGTAAATGGTAGCTTTGCTGGATAGAGTAATCTTGGATGTAGTTTCTTGCCTTTCATGACTTGGAATACTTCTTTCCAGCCCCTTCTGGCCTGTAAGGTCTATTTTGAGAAATCAGCTGATAGTCTTATGGGAGCTCCTTGGAGATAACTATCTCCTTTTCTCTTGTTGCTTTTAAAATTTTCTCTTTCTCTTTAATCTTGGGTAATGTAATTATGATGTGCCTTGGTGTGTGCTTCCTTAGGTCCAACTTCTCTGGGTCTCTCTGAGCTTCTGGACTACTGGAAGTCTGTTTCCTTTGCCAGATTGGGGAAGTTCTCCTTCCTTATTTGTTCAAATAAGTTTTCAATTTCTTGCTCTTCCTCTTCTCCTTTGGGTACCCATATGATTCAGATGTTGGAACATTTAAATTCGTCCCAGAGGTTCCTAAGTCTCTCCTCATTTTTTTTAAAGATTTTATTTATTTATCTTTAGAGGGGAAGGGGAGAAGGAGAGAGGGAGAGAAACATCAATGTATGGTTGCCTTTCATGCATCCCCTGCTGGGAACTGGCCTGCAGGGAACCAGCCTGCAACCCTGGTATGTGCCCTGACTGGGAATCGAACCGCAATTGTCTGGTTCGCAGGCCCGCGCTCAATCCACTGAGCTACACCAGCCAGGGTCTCTCCTCATTTTTTTTTTTTGAATTTTTGTTTCTTCATTCTGTTCTGGTTGAATGTTTATTTCTTCCTCCTGCTCCAAATCATTGATTTGAGTCCTGCTTAGAAGAAATATTCTTCTTACCAGAAATATTCTTACCAGTCCTGGTTAACAAGAAATATTCTTGTTAACCTTTTGAACTTACACACTATTTAGCTGAGAAAAGTTGATACCACTAAGAGTGTTGGAGAATTAATTCATTCTAAAGTGAAGAGTACCTAAGTACTCACTGATAATGCTTTTCACATAATATTGTTATAATAGCACACTATTAAAGTTGCTAAGAGAATTTGTGTGATTTTATGTGAAATATACATTCACTGGGGTGGAAAAGATGAGGATGAATTATAGTGCCTTTCTCTTCACCAGAACAAGTTTTTAAAAAATGATTAATATGCCAAATTATTAACAAGATATCATCTTCAGACTCTGATTAAAGTCATATATTGATAAACAAATTTGAACTTCCACCAACTCCTTCATTCAACTGAGAGTATTTTTCTGGGTTAGGCAAAAGAACAGTTTCTTTAAAATCTTCCCTTTGTTGTAAGAGGAAGGATGTAACCTCCACAACAAAGTCATAAAATTTATTAAAAATTTTTTTTGATTGCTTTGAAGTTTAACATTTTTTACCATCTAATTTTAACATATGAAGAAACTGGCCAAATATGTTTTTAGAAAGGTAAGCAGTAACCTCTCATGAAGATGTTGAATGTTGGCTAAAGATACCAAAGAAAATGGAAGGAAGAGCTGGACTATTATCTTAGTGGAGCAGCAGGAAGGTCTTCAGGAACTTCACAAGTCTACTTCCTAAGGGAAGATATAATTTGAGATGGGGAAACATATCTTAGAGAGCAATCTGGATGGTTCTTTATCTTTCTGTTCTTCTTGGTCAAGTTTCTCTAGTAGCTGAGATGGGAGGTGACTGACAAAGAGACCAGGAAAAGGGTTGAAATGATTTCGATGACCAAGTACAAGCATTGGAGGGCTGCAACACCGTCACTAGGCTTTCCCTCCCTGACCCTCACACCAAATGAAATGCCCTCTTATACAAACATGAATTACTTTTCTCCTCACTGATCCCACCAGACTGCAGATCTTTGCCATGCTCACTTTCCTTTCAGTTGTTTACTTTCTCCTGAGGCACTACTACAGGAATATTTACTATTTTAAAGGGACATTACCTTCCTTTTCAGTGTTATAAACTCCAAGTTCTCTCTTCCAAGTCAGGCTCAAAAGGAATGAGTGACATCTAGTTCATGTATACTAGAAGTAAAATGTATAAGGTTATATAAAAGCACATACAACAAATTTATTTTTATTACAGTTTTGTATCATTAGAGGTGAAAAGGATTATACACAGTACCTACTGGTAGTTTAAAGGGCTATCAACTCAATCAGAGATTAGTTTAGCAGCCAACCTCCAAAATATTGCCCTCAATATAACTTCTATTATCCCTGAAATTTTATCAATAGTACAAGGCAATTTTAAATGGCCTTCTAGGACATACAAATTGGTTTCCAAGTTCTTGAAGCAAAGCAGTGAAATGGTTTACATTTAGCTTTGGCAGAATCCCTGCTCAATAATTAGGGAGTGAAAATAATTGGGGAGTGATTTAAGTCCTTTGAGCTTTGGTTTCTTCATTTGTTAAAAAAAAATTCTTTCTCTTTTCTGTATCCAACACCCATTTCTTAGAGTCCTTGAACAAGCTGATATATATTATCTAATAAGATGCAAACTGACAAGGCCAAAAATGGTCTGTCTTTCAGTGGCATCTATATTTTATTAATAGTATCTCAGAAACTTACTCATATATCTGACGGATATTTTTAAGCTTTCTCCTAATCCTCCTACTAGTTCTGTGTGGTACTCTGATCATACAATATATCTATCTCTATTTAACTTGACAAGAAATGGCCTGAAAGAGATTTACATGACCTACCCACCATCATGGGGCAAATTAGTGGTAGAATCAGGATTAGAAATCATATCTCCTCACTTCTGGTTCAGTACACTTTCTTAGAGGAAAACATTTCTAACCTCTGCTCCCGGACTCTCCATGGTTTGTTTCTGACCACCCATCTGTATAGAAAAAGAGAGGTGAATACCAGGATTTACCCTGAGCATAAAACCACAAGCCTCACCTCTAGTTTATTACATGTGTTGTGTGTCTTGGATCATATCCAAGCCTTCTTCCTCCACTCTGAAAGCCCTTGCCATCTAAAGTCTACCAAACCTTCATAGTCTGACCAGAGACCTTCTCCAGGCAGCCTTTCCTGACCAAAGGCACACAATAGTCATTACTTCCTTACATTAAATTCCATGAGCACCTGAGAACCCAGAACCATCAAGTAACTGGACTTTTTAAAATGTATGTAGTGGTGGTGGGATTCTGTTTACCAGATTTTAGGGGGAAAAGAGAAAAATGGCAACATAAAAATTATTAGAGGTTTAATCAAACTGTCAGATTTTAGATTGTGACCAGGATCTATTCAAATTCATTTCAATTTCTTCCACTTTGCCTCTCCCCTTAGAAGTATGAAAAGTGTTTACTGATAATAATCAAGTAGGCCTCTGGGCTCTGCAAGGTTCTCATGGAAAAGAGAATCAGTGGTCGCTAGACTGTCCTCTTTTATGAAGGAAAGTGGGTTCAGATATTTCTCCTTAGCCCCATGTTAACCAAGAAATTATGCTCTAGGAGCTTTCATTCCCCTAGTATCCAAAAGGGTTGTATTATTCCCTGGGTGCAATATCTATGTCTACTTCCACATTTCAAGTAGCATGTCCTGCTCCTCTTGAGTGCAAGAAGAAGGACACTTAATGGATACCTGGGACATTTTCCATCACAACAACACTATCCAAAGATGTCCTGGGCATGTCTGATAACTGTATTATGTTATCCATTTGACAAGTGAAATTATAGCAAAGGAGATCAAAGCTCTGAGATGCTGGGGAAGAAATTTGCACTAGAATTTCAGAACTAAAAAGGTAAGTGACCGAATCAGAATGGATAGTACTGGGGAGTTCTGAAGCCCTCATTCTAGGAAAAAGAATGAAATGGGGTTCTCTTTCATTTTGAGGGATTCTCAAGTGACTTACTGATAACAACACTCACTTCAAAGTGATAAGCTATCCCAGTTGAGCTTAAAACTGATGGTTGTGGACTTCTGACCAAGATGGAGGCATAAGTGGGAACGCTGTGCCTCCTCGCAGAACCAAGTTTAAAGACAACAAAGTTTTAGTAACAAAAATGCAACCAAAACACAGAAAATTGAACTATATAAAAGTCTGACAGCAACAAACCATTCAGCCAGACCAGTAAGAGGGGCAGGGTCAGTGGCTGGCACAGCAGGATTGGGAAGGAAAAGGTGGCCAGACCGACCCAGGAACGCAGGCGGCAGTTGGCAGATCCCAGGCATAGGGTGGCAATAGGTGGACCCAGTGAGGGTGCAAGGCAGCTGGCGGACCAGGGTCACACATTCATGCACAGATAAACCAAGCAAAGGACCGAGCAGTGAGACAGACCACTCAGGCTAGGGCCCCAGTGATGGGAATTAGAGCCTGAAAACACCAATTGGAAAGACTTTCAGGGTCGAGGTGCCGGGAGAAGCTCCCAGGCTCACTGAGAGTTTGCTGGAGAGACTCACAGGATTCTAGATGGTGCACAGGCTCACACACCTGGGAGCCAGCACCAGGGGAGCCGAGTTTGTTTGCAGGAAGCAGCAGAGGGAATCAAAATCCAAGAGAGAGAGAGAGCAGAAAAAAATGCGATTGCCACTCTCTGACCCTGCCCCCACATACAGTGTCACAACCCAGTGACTGGGTTGCCCCACCCTGGTGAACACCTAAGGCTCCACCCCTCACTACTTAACAGGTACAACCAGACCAAAACATTATGGCTCAAGAAGGACAGGTCAAAGTCCCAGAGCCAATACTTGTAAGCGACCAAGAGATAGCCAACCTATCAGATGCACAGTTCAAAACACTGGTGATCAGGATGCTCACAGAACTGGTTGATTTTAGTCACAAATTACATGAAAAAATGAAGGCTAAACTAAGTGAAATGAAGGGAAATGCACAGGAAACCAATAGTGATGGAAAGGAAACTGGGACTCAAATCAAGGGAGTGGACCAGAAGGAAGAAAAAAATGACCAAACAGAAAAGAATAAAGAAACAAGAATTCAAAGAAATGAGGAGAGGCTTAGGAACCTCCAAGGACATCTTTAAATGTTCCAACATCCAAATTATAGGGATACCAGAAGGGGAAGAGGAACAGCAACAAGTGGAAAAGTTATTTGAACAAATAATAAAGGAGAACTTACCCAATCTGGCAAAGGCAATAGAGTTCCAGGAAATCCAGGAAGCTCAGAGAGTCCCAAAGAAGGTGGACCCAAAAAGGAACACACCAAGGCACATCATAATTACATTAGCCAAGATTAAAATGAAGGAGAGAATCCTAGAAGCAGCAAGAGATAAGGAGACAGTCACCTACAAAGGAGTTCCCATCAGACTGTCAGCTGATTTCTCAAAGGAGACCTTCCAGGCAAGAAGGAGCTGGAAAGAAGTATTCCAAGTCATGAAATCCAAAGACTACATCCAAGATTGCTCTATCCAGCAAAGCTTTCATTTAGAATGGAAGGACATAAAGCGCTTCTCAGATAAGATCAAATTCAAGGAGTTCATCATCACCAAGCTCTTATTATATGAAATGTTAAAGGGATTTATCTAAGAAAAAGAAGATAAAAAAGATGAACCATGAAAGGACAGCAAACTCACAATTATTAACCACACCTAAACCAAAAGCAAACTAAGTGGACAGCTAGATCAGGAGCAGAACCATAGAAATGGAGATCACATGGAGTGTTAGCAACAGGGGAGTGGGAGAAGGAGAAGGGGGGAGAAGGTACAGAGAATAAGTAGCATAGATGGTAGGTAGAAAATAGATAGGGGGAGGGCAAGAATAGTATGGGAAATATAGAATCTAAAGAACTTGTGACACATGGACACAAACTAAAGGGGGGAATGGTGGGGGAGGGGTGTGCAGGGTGGAGGGGAATGAAGGGGGGAAATGGGACAACTGTAATGGCATAATCAATAAAATATATTTAAAAAAACCTGATGGTTGTAAGCACCAGAATGATATACTTATTAGTTATATGACTGGAGATCTACAGGGATATCTACCATTTGAAGGTAAAACTCTTATGGGTTCCCCAGCAAAGTGAGGTAGCACATCCTGCTTAACTACAGTGAACCATTTCTTCTAAAGTCATATATACTGAGAGATACTTCTGATACCTATGTCAGTCTGAAGATTTCCATAATAGTTTAGCTCAACAAGTGGTCCTCAAATATCTATTTTCCAGGCACTATGCTAGTTTCTACAGATGCATAGATAATAATAATTACTTATAATAGTCAAGCATTACCAAGAGGTGTTTTGTTTTGTTTTTTTTTTGCTATTTGAGACTCTGTGCTAGGAGCTTTAAATATATTATTTTACTTCATTCTTTCTATTACCCTGAGATATTCTTAGCCCCACTTTAGACATGAGGAAAAGGATCAATAGAAAGGTTAAATAATCTGCCTAAGTTTACACAACTAGTACATAGCAGAGGTGGGACTTGATCCCAGGTATGCCTCATTCCAAACTTCATGACCTCAATGCCATACTTCAGAGACCATTAAGCTTAAAGACTCTCATGGTGAAGTTGCAGACACATAGAGAGAGAGATCACTTTCAAACTATCATGCTAAATGCTAAGATAGAGGTGTGCCTAGGGTCCTGTGGGAATGCAGAGAAAAGGCCCTTGAGAAAAGTAGCATATTGATTTCTCATAGCACAGACCCTGGAGCCTGGGTTTGAACTCCAGTTTTGCCACTTACCAATTATGTGAACTTGGACAAATTAAATAAGCTTGGACAAATTTATTGTCTCAGTTTCCTCATCTGAAAAGAGAGATAATAATAGAGCCTAATCTTAGAATATTTCCTGGTACATAATAAGCACTATACATGTGTTAAATAAAGTATGTAAGCTTAATTCTGAATGAGGTTACAATCAAACCTCGGTTCTCAAAGATTCTTTCATCTTGCACAATGTGGTTCTCCACCACATTGTTCATGGAAAACATACCTCAGTTGATGAACAAAACTTTGGTTCTTGATGGACAACCCTTTCATGCTGATGAGTCTCTCAGGTGACAAACAAAGGAGATTAAGCTTTTGAACAAATTGTTTCTCAGACAGCCTTCCAGAAGGAATTAAATTAGAGAACCTAGGTTCCACTGTTGTCAGTGAGACTGGCAGTTGGGGCTCCAGTCTGGGGTGATGGGCAGACTGGAGTCTCCTATAATCTTTGTTCCCCCATCCAGTGGGCAGGCTGGGGAAGAGGTCTTGAGGGGTGCAAGAAACTACAGAATGGCCTGGAGTCTGAGGAACTAGAGCCCCAGCCATCCTGAGCCCAAAGAAGAGCCACCCAAGCCTTTCATCCCCTGGCTCTGGGCCCTAGGCCTTGCTCAGGAGCCCTCAGCAGCCAGGAAGAGAAGGAGTTGGATTGGTTAAGAGTGACCTGGGGGATGGTGCCATTGAAGATCTGAGGACTAGGAGCTGGAAGTGATCAAAGCTTGTGTCAGGAAGATAGAGCAAGAAGCTAAGAAGCTAAAGGAGCTAGAGAATGAGGCGGAGAAGTATGAATATGAGACCAGCTCCATACAGTGCTAGCCCAGTGATCATTATCTATTGAGGAGAAGATGGAGGCTGATGTCCATTCCATCTTTGTTGGCAATGTGGACTATGGTGGAACAGCAGAGGAGCTGGAAGCACAATTTCATGGATGTGGTTCAGTTAACCATGTTACCATACTCTGTGACAAATTTAGTGGCCATCCCAAAAGGTTTGCATATATAGTTCTCAAAGAGTCAGTAAGGACTTCCCTGTCGTTAGATGAGTCCCTGTTTAGAAAAAGACAAATCAAGGTGATCC